ACCTTGTAGCAGGAATTCTGGGCGAGCAACTACCACATGGAGTTTGCTGACATGTGGGCGACATTAAAGATCCGCGCCTTCTATCGCATATAATACAGCAATGATCGTAGCAAAGGTGAGTTACTCTCCGATCATTTCATTGATGCAATTAATGGTTCCTTCCTAACTTCAAAGGAAACAAGACAAACTTTGCGACAAAAACATTTACTGAGGGGGGGCTGCCCGCCGACCCAGCGAAGTTACCGCTTCCCATGGATCCGCTAAAGCCGCCCATGGAGCCACCGAAGTTGCCGCTGCCACCGGCCCCACCGCCAATAACAGAGTCACTCGAGATAACACCGCCGTTTGCCGTCAACGTGGCAGCTTCCTCCACTTCTTGTGCTGCAGTCATATCCACCGCCAGCGAGATCCACACGAACAAACCGTCCGCCACCGAGTCTCCCAGCAGAGCGTACTCCATGATCGGGTCGTATCCATCGGCGGCGGCCGCCTGCAACCACATGTCGTCTTCGTTGAGAGTGATCTCCTGGGTGTTGGTCACGTACGTGTCTTGCTCGTTCACCGATGTGATGAGGTCTTGGTCGAAGAAGAACTGTCCGACGTGTGCGACCGATCCACCGGAGTATGTGCCATTCGAGAGCACTGTGCCGTTGTAGTTGCCGATGAAATGCAGGTGCGTGGCGCGCTCGACGTAGTGACCCGGGAAGATAGAGATCATCTGGGCGACACCGTCCTCGTCCGTTGGGGTGACACCGCGCAGGAACGTGTTGTTGAGGTTGGTGGTGTCGCTGCTGTCGCCGTTGCCGTCAGCGACCACACCCGAGTACACACCTGTCGCATTAGCGTGCCAGAAGTCGACGTACATGTCCGTGACGGGCTCACACGTGCTGACGTCAATGACTTGTACGTCAATGTACATGTCGACGCCGGGTTGATCTTCGCGCATATCGGATCGGATGTACTCACCCAGGACGTAGTACGGACCGTACGTGACTTCCGGCTCAAGGACGCATGCCACCTCGTCACCAAACAGCACGCTGGACGACGTGTCGGCAGTGACTCCTGTGAGGTTCGACTGGTGGTTTGTGGCCACCACCGTGTCGACGTCAAGACGGCGCTGGCGACGTTCACGACG